CCCTGCGAGAAGAAGACACCGCAAAGAGTGTCTCTGCGAATGAATTCTCGGGAAATCCCACGGTGACACCTTGCGAGATGCGGTGCGAGATCTTGATGTCACCGGCGCGCCGGGACGAGAGCACACGCACGGCCGCGCTGCGGTTTAATTGGGAAGTAATTCCGGCCGGCGTTTCATTAGAAAGCAAGCGCTCGCCCGCGAATAACACTCAACTTGGAAATTCATTCGGCGAGCAAGATCGCGTTGAAACTTCTTTCCCACGAGCAATACGACAAAACGAGATTCAGGTCATTCGCTACGTTGCGTAGGAATAGCGGCGAGCAAGATCAACGAGGTTAATCAGATCGGAAAGAAAACGATAAGGTCGGCCATTCCGCCGTTAAACGGCGCGACATTTTCACAAACGACCGCGGCGCGTCGTAGCAGCTGATGATTGTATTATCATACATCCATATGCATCCGAATGCCTTTCCGATGCGCACGGTAAGCACCTAATTGTTCCACGGAGCACGGAGACGAATCCGGTAATGCACGAGGCAAGGCCAGCGAAGGTCGTGGCTGAACTCTGAAGAGGCGCCGCGCCGCGCCGCGTTCTATTCGTTTCGTTTCCTCGTTTCCTCCGCCGAGCGGGTGCTCTCGCTCGACAAAAGAGAGGGACGCGCGTTCCGAGATTGTTCGATTTACTCGCGGCGAAAGAAACGTGGCTTGAATCGCGCGACGTGACGACGATGAACGAGCCGAGCTGCAGAATTCCTCCTTCTCGGAGCCGAATTTAGCTCGTAAGAAGCGGGAGTGCTGTTTCCTTCGGCCGTTCGACCCGCTCGCCGTCACGTTCATTCAGCCGATCGTTTTTCTCCGTGTTCTTGCGCGAAGAATCGCCTCATCCGCGGATGTACCGTCGTTACATACCGCCACACCCTGTACATTAAACGAACGGTGGTGAATTTCTCCGGCGCTCTCAAGCATATCCGCGCGCGAGCGTATCGCCGCGCGCGCCGCGATATGTCGCATACAATGGTGACTTGAGCGCGCAGAAATGATAATATTCCCGGCGCTCTCTCTCTCTCTCTCTCTCTCTCTCTGTTCCACACACGCTCCGCTCTTCATTCGGCTATCAAGCGGAAATCGCTGCTCTCTCTTTTATTGGAGAACAAGGTCACCCGGGTCGCGGAGTCGAGACGCCGCGATGAAAAGGTGCCCCGGAATCGTCGAGGTTCCTATCGGAGGCGCGGAAAGGTCACTTCGCCAATGACGGTCGACGGCGCTCAAAGTTCAGGTGTGAGGGACCTTAACGAGACCTCGATGGGCGTGAGATGCGCGGGGGATCGTTACGGCCGATTGAGCAAGGCTTTTCGTCTCCACGCAATATCAACGTCCCACGTGCGCGTCAGCGCGCTTCATTCTTCAATGATGATCCGCGGATGATTCGTGGGCGGCAGCAAGATATCATCAATACGGAACGAGAACGATCGACGTCATCGTGACACAGATGAGAAAAGAAGGGAGTTTCGCGCTCCGAGAGGCTCACGATGTCTCGTTGGAATTGCCGTTTCACCGGAACAATGCATTATTTGTTTAGTTTGTTACATCTATATTTTATGATATATATTATTCAACTTCGCTTTCTGCACGGATAATTTCGAAATTTGTTCTCCGACCGATTCTCCTCTCCTCCTCATAAGTAAACCACGAGGAACGTCAGACGCCGATTTGTTTCCAATTTTTTATAGTTATTTTTTATGTCAAAATATGAAGAAATCTGTTATCATTTTTAGCTTAAATTAATTTTTTCAATTTTTTCGAAACTTTTGAAGTTTTGCACAAGTACACTATTTTATATATATTTAAAACAATATTTCTTCTATTAATAAAAATATATATACCTGATTTGTTGAAACTTGCACACACATGTCGCCGATTATGAGTCAGAGTCATTTTGTAAAATTCAAAATGGCGGATCTAATATGGCTGACGTCATTGCTGAAAAAGTGTACAGTTTTATGCTACATTCGACGTTGGATAATCTTTCGGCTCACTGTCCAGCAAACAAAGCTCATTTTAACGTCAAAATGTGATAAAAAATGAACAAGAAATGAACAAAAAAAGAATGAACAAAAAACATCAGAAATTTCGAAAAAATTGAAGAAATTAATTTAAGCTAAAAATGACAACAGATTTCTTTATATTTTGACATTAAAAATAACTGTAAAAAACTCGGAAACAAATCGGCGTCTGACGTTCCCCGAGGTTTACTTGTCAGCTGGGGAGATGTTGACGGGAATCGTCGTTTAACCTTCTCGCGCTCGACATCGTGCACTTTCCCGCTTAATTCTCGCGTCTCGAATCAAATTTCCGCTAGAAAGAGCGACGATTCCCTTTTCTCGCGAGGCGCGCGATTAGAAAATGGAAGATCATTGCGATCGACGATAACGATCGTTACGTAGCGCGATTGCGCGAACGGCAGCACGCACGCGATCCCATGGCCGCGCGAGGGCTCGTGATGCCATGGTAATTGCGTGTGAGGAAATTCCGCCTCGCTAATTATCAATCGCGGAGATTAATTACACGCGAGAGAGTCCACGCGCAGAGCGACTCGTACGTGGGGCTTACTCTCTCGTCATCGGCGTGTCGCTGCGCACCGACCTTGTCATCGGCGCGTGATTACGTCCCGCACGTCGTATTAATGACTCCGGAATCATTACGTTGCAACGCCACGCCACGGGAGAGAGGCGATCTCGCCGATCGTCTCGTTCGTTTGAATCGTGTCGTCACTCAATCGCATACACACTGAGAAAAAGACTTCTGTTGCCACAACAAATGAACGTTTGCCGCTTAATAATTGTACGGGGAACGAATCAAACAACAACAATGTTACTGCAACATTACAGATCATTTCTCGTTATTTGTAATTTTAACGTGACTCTTCTGCGGCCCATATTCTGAATTCTCATATGTAGAAAAAAAGCATCTCTTAAAGTGTAACTTTTAAGTTTTTTTAAAAAGCTACGAACCGCTTTTACAGACTTTTTTATTGATAAAAGTATGTTTACAGTATGAGCCCCTTTGTACGTATATCCTCTTTAACCTTACCCAATTTTATCTAATAGTTTGTTAATTTCATATAAAAATAAAAATGTGCTAAAAATAAATATTAATATGATAATGCATTGCTCTATTTCTTTCCTCGAATTTCTGCAATACACACACAGAATTATTATTTTGTTAATCTTTCTCTACCAATGTTTAATTAAATGTAACGAAGCTATATTTGAATCGTTCGGTAATTACGATACACGCTGCTGCAGAATTGCATGTGTGTCTCGTCGAGTATTTTACGTATTTTGTTATGCATATATTATACGTTGGCGAGAAAGAGTTAACACAACTGATTCGTTTGTGCATAATTTCTAACCTTTGCTCGTATTCCATATGTATCGCCAGCAAATCAAAAATTTATGATTCGTTGAATTAACATAACAATGCCATTTGTTCCCGTTACAAAATTGTTGGTTAGAGCGACAAATCGCGAGTAACAAATCATTTGTTGGCACAACGGAGTCGTTTGTTACCCCACATTGACAAATCATTTGTTGCGGTTACCGGTGTTTCGTTAACAAAACCTTTTTTCTCAACATATCGCTTCGCGATGATCACTTCCAGTCGATTTCACGCGCGCATTTCTCCGGCGCGTTCGCAACGTCTCGGCGACGACGCTTTCCCGCGTGTGCTTCCCGACGATTTCCTCAGGATCAAGTCCGCAACTCCAGACGATTCGCAACGAATCGAACGACGGAATTCGCACGGAGCGAAATCCCATGTTCGAATGAAAGAGTTCCCAGGCGAACGTCGTTCGCGACGTATATGCGCCGCATATATGCGGAACTGTATGTAAATAAACAACGTCACGAGGAAATATAGGTCGGTCTCTCTCTCTCTCTCTCTCTCTCTCTCTCTCTCTCTCTCTCTCTCTCTCTCTCTCTTCGTTTTCCCAGCGACGCGGTTTTTCGTCGAACGGCGAAATTAGCGAATCGTCGCGAGTGTAACTTTCCGGTGTTTACCTAGCGCTACAATCACCGCGAAATGCGAGATCGTTTGCTTTGCAGTTTAAATTGCTGAGCACAGTGCTCATTACCACGTTATTCTCCAATCGAGCCAGTTTTTACGAACAAAGGATTATTTAGCTCTTGCCAAGTGGGTCGCGGTGAGAGCATGATTTAAGTACTACGAGAGCGCAATCGGCATCGAAATGGTTGAAACGTCGACTATTTTTTCGGTCAGGTTCAACAATGTGTCACTTATTGTAAGATGATAAGTTCTAAAGATCTGGATTGATCTAGATCTGGACTGACAAACAGCAAGTAAATTGGGACACCGGATGTTGGGAATCAGCCGAGTAAAGGAGGTCGCCGGTAAAAACCGAGGAAAAAGCAACGCAAGAAACGCACTAACAGACGACCTCTCCTCTCTCTCTCTCTCTGTCTCTCTCTCTCTCTCTCTCTCTCTCTCTCTCTCTCTCTCTCTCTCTCTCTCTTTCTCTCTCTCTGTTTTCTCGTTGGAAGCGGAATATTGTTGTCGGGAGGGGCCGATGGAGAATCGGCAGAGCATGAAAATGTAATAGCGATAATTAATTAGCGCAACGTTAAACTGTTCCACCAAATATCGCGTCGTTCGGTTGTGAGGAAAAGTTTACTCCCAAATTTATATCGATGTACTCTCGGCGTTCTCTCGCGATAACGAATTTAAGAATCTCAATACACGCAACAATTACTTCATCCCCCCCATCCCCGCCCTAGCAAACGTTCCCGGGTGCACCGAACGTGCATCGCACGCTTAATCGACGCATTAATGTCGTCGCTGGCTATTATCAGCGTTATCACTTATCAGTGTTTCAACCGACTTTGCGACGCCGACTGCACGAGTCGCAGCAGGTAGAGAGAGAGAGAGAGAGAGAGAGCGCCTCGCGCCTGCAATATTCTGGAGAAAAGAAAAAAGCGACTTACGTTCTCGGGCTGGGACGAACGCCTCTGCCGCGGCACACAGAAGAGCGGCACGCCGCTTTCCCGCTTCTTCTCCAATATAGCGGCTTCCGGTTCCCCTCGGGAGCACCAAACTGTACGGCGCGACGTTCCGCCGACTTCACGCGACACACAGAGGCCCCCCGCCGGCCGCGTGACTCCTCTCCTACCCTCCGCCGCTCTCCTCGGCCAGGTACCCCCTCACAGATCACCAACCAAGGAACCTCAGGCACCAGCGATCACTGACGGTTAATCACTGCCCGATCGATTCACGTTCGACCGCGATCTCCAGCGCGTCGTCGCCCCCTCCGCCCGCGCGCGGATCCCCCGAGATCGCCGGCGGCGAGAGCGATTCTCGATTCACGACGAAACGGCCGACGACTTCACGCGCTCGCTTCGCACGACGACGCGCACTCGTAACCGACGTCCAACGATACAGCCGCGCAAGTATCGTAAGAATGGCGCGTGTAGACGCGAGAGAAATTCACGCTCCACGTCTCTCTCTCTCTCTCTCTCTTTCACTCTCTTAGCGTGCCGTACCGACGATCTCACCGTAGCGAACCGAGGCCGCGCGGGAGCGGGCGCTCTTCTTCGCGGCGAGCGCGCGTAAACCCGACGACTCAGTGTTTGTCACCGACGCCGAGTCACAACGTCACAATGTCACAAAGTCACAACGACGCACACCTCGCGAGCGCGCCGCGTTCCATTCCGACGAGACGGTGCTGTCGCACTGAAGTCAGCCGCGCGACGCGTCGAGTCGAACGCAACTCCGGCGAGGTGGCTTCTCGCCTCTTCTCCTCTTCCTCCTCCAGCCCTCTCCGCTCTCCGTCCCTCGCCTGGCCTCGCGGTTCTCGGCGACGTTGCTCGGGGAGATCGCGCGCACGTGAGGGTGAAAATTGCAGCGGAAACTCCGACGGACACGATGATCCTCGCGCGCGAGCACCGACGCTCCACAATATCGACTGCTTGCGCTCCGCGGAACGACTGAAGTTGCTCCTGGTCGACCGGTCATTGGCGATACCTTGCCCCCTCCTTTCGCTCGCACGCAGTATTCGTTCCCTGCTTCGTCGTCGTCATCGTTGTCGCCGCCGCCGCCGCCGCTGTGAGCTTCAGGCAACGCGTGGCCGTTGGTAATACGTACTCCGAGAAACACTGGGCCACTTGGGTCCTCCTCAGGGTACGAGATGCGAGCGAATGGAGCGCGTAGAGTTGACTAAGAGCGAGCGGCGGCCCATTGTTTCCAGCCGCACGTTGTCTTCTTTCTCGCACTTTCGGCGAACGAGGCGAGCGGTCGCGTCTTGTTGGCCCGGAAAGACCGGATGAAAGAAGGACCAAAGGATGACTCGTCCGATTGGATCTGTTATGTGCTCGTCGTTGTTTGTTGTTACGGTGATTCCTCTCTAATTCCTCAAATTCTTCGGACGAAACTGAGCTCCTCGAATCGTTCAGCTGGATATTCCAAATTTGTAATTTAAAGCTCGATTGCGTTACATCGCGCGTGCGCGCAACTTCACCGCGCCGAAGAATTTGTGAAACACGTGGAGAGAGAAGATGAACATCGTGTTCAACATTGAAGGGATATCTTTCTCGGGCGAGAAAATATACATTTTCTCAAGACCGTAACTTTCACGGAAGCGATTGTTGCTTCTATTTTAATAAAAAAAAAAAAAAAAAATCGAATTTAGGAAAATATGTTATTAGCCCACCAAATATTTTTTTTATTTTTTTTCTTAGTGTAAATACCGAAAATCTAATTATTACCGCAGATTTAAATTGTAACGGCATGCATTACCTCACCTCACTCCCTTGTTTTTTTCGTAGATCGTGACAACGATTAGAGAGCGCGCGGTTACACAGATTCTGCTCCCGATTCGATTCCTGCGCAGGCATGACTTGGCGAAACGCTTCCTCGTCGAGAAGGTCACGAACGCGCGATCCTTAGGCAGGTATTAAAATTGAATTAGGGTGCACGGCGTGTGTGCGGTTGCGGCAAAAAGCCGATGACCGAAATCAATTTCCCATTTCAGACGTGTATTCGAAACTCTCGCTGGTTCGAAATGCTGATGGATATCGAAGCGTTACGAAGCGCGACGATATCGGAGATGGAGAGTTTCCGTGGCAATTTGCACTCATGGTGGAAAAAAATTCTCAGCTCCGGTGTGCGAGAAGACAGGCGATTATACGAACGGCAATAATGTGCTCGATAGTAGAGATTTACGACCGATACGCTTCAATTTTTTGCTCACTTCGTGTATTCATTATGGCGGTTTCTCACCTCGCAGATACGAAGTATCATTCACCGACGACGAGAGATTTTGTAACAGTCTTATCTTATTAAACTTGACGATCCGTCGTGAATATCTGTCGTTGCCTCGTTGGCAACTGCTTCATTTTTTAATATTCTTCGTAATCTTCTCGATGACGAGTCTCCGTATTACGTTTCCGTTATCTATGTGGAGTAAACATGCAAGTGAACTCAAACTTCCAAACTATGACTGGTCTATCCTCTTTATCTGCGGGTCATTGTCGTGGACGAGTCTTTCCAAGAAAAATAATCATACCTCTCTTCCCCGGTCATGGCTGGACGCGAATGCGCCTTGTTGCGGAAGCCAGTGTTGGGCATCTCCGCGTAAACAGTAATAGCGAAGATGTTTGTGAATGATCTCGTTGAGCGCGAGCTGCGCGCAGACGGCGCATATTTCTCGTGCACGTTCTCTAATCAGAACAATTAAACGCGATACGTAATTGTTTCCTAGTCACGCTCACGTGTAGCTGCTTATGAAAATTATTCAATTAACCAAACGTAGCTCCGAGGATGCCAGCGCTTATCCTTATATCGCGTTATCTTCTCTCAACTCAGCGTCGTCGTCGCGTTATCTCATCTCCAGCGAACGTTCACCGGAAAATTTCGTCCACGCGTGCTCCATCGAAGACGCTCGGGTTTCCGTACGGTGCAAACGCCAGCTTAAACCCCCCCCCCCGAGGAAGGGGGAGGGCAAGTGTAGCGCAAAGGTCGCACGACGAAAACATCTCGCGCGCCGCGGAGTTATCCAATTTTAGAGATGGAAATGGGTTAAATAAATCCCAGAGCGGTACACACCGCGGGTTGAAAGTTTACGGCGCCTGTCGGCAGCCGTGCGTGTGGCGTGCGCGCGAGTCTGCTTAAGATCGGGCCAGATCTCCCGCATAGATGTTACGTCGTCGGCCGCCTCCGAACTGCCCCTTGTCCTACATGTCACGCGGCTACCCACGCTAATTAGTCCATTATCATCGCCGCTACGCCACCGCCCTCACTACCGACAACTCATCGCTCGCGTTTACCGTTCCTCGCGGCACGCTCGCTCGTAGATGTAACTTTAATGACGGTGTACTAAAGGCGTGACCGCGGTACTTTCGGTGCGCGTGGATGCTAACGACGCGTGTTAAATCGCGAACGTAACAGAAGCGTATCCGGCCGCACGAAAGCATCGTCTTGACCGATCACAGCGCACGACAACCACAACGGGAAAGACGCACGCGAGATGACGAACAAAGGCGGAGTAGAGACGAGAGAATGGCAGGAGGGAGGGGGGGAGGAGCGAAGAATAACCAAGAACAAGGTTTCGTCCCGTTATACTCAACGAGATGAAATGAAATTGAGTCTCACGCATCACCGGATGAGCAGAGAGACATCTTAATTGCCACTGGAGGGACAGAAATTAGACGTCCGTTTGGCGGTCGACGCATTGTGCGAGTTATCCAACAATATTCCCCGCAGATAGACAATATTCTAGCGCGAATTTATGCACCATTGTTAGCGCGACGGAATCGAACGACCGCGTTTTTTGCGATTAATGCACGCGGCCGACGTAACTCGTCCTGGCCTTCGCGTCCCCATCGAGACGTCTCTCCCTCTCTTTCTCTCTGTCTCTCTCGTCTCTCGGGGATGGGATGTTATCGTGGGACACAGTTCTTTCGTGCGCCGCGGTGACACGATCCACGGCGCACCCACCACCACGTGGCGCGGCACGAACAAACGACGTCGACGCGTGCCGGGCGCGTTTAATTTCGCTAAAACCCAGCGAGAATAATAAACTGACGGTGACGACGACGACGGGGATGACGGCGGCGGCGACGGCGGCGGCGGCGGCGGCGGCGGCGGCGGCGGCGGTGACGGCGGCAGCGGCGACGACGGTCTAGACGCACGGTCTGCCACCGTCCGGGGGAGTATTACTATTTGCCGTGCGTGTGGGCGTTCGGTGTGGGAGTGCCGGCCGGACATGACGGAACATTGGACGAACGGATGGACGGCCACACGCACGTGTGTTGTGTGTGTGGGTCGTGGTTTCCTCCCTGGAACTGAAACTCGGAATTCAGGAATCGCCGCGATAAAAGGAGTCACCGTAGAGTGAGCAGCGGGGAGTAGCGGGCGAGGGAAGCGTTCGGGCGTAGGACGCGGCCCGATTAATTTCCTCGTCTGGCGAATCGTCGCTATCCACGTCGACGAGTTCGCGTTCGCGCAGAGACTCGCCACTCTCTATCCACTGTATAAAACTTGCCTACAAGAAGGGAGAATTAAAATGAATTAGAAAAAAAGTTCACTCCGGGGAGGGGGCAGGTGTGTGCTGAAATGAAAGTTTGAGCGGATACGTTCGGATATGAGCAACGGTAATTAATCCGACAAGCTCATCAGTCGAGTAAAGAGGATAATTATTCGGGATAAAGTCTTTTTAAGAGGTCAAACGGCGATAGGGGCGACGCTAATTTCGCTAATTAGTTGATCCCATCGGACGGCATTCCGCGGGCTTCCTCGTAAAACACCAGCGCACGGCGCTGTCCTCGAGGAACTCTAATTAGATAAGTTGCGCGAAAAACAAACGTTATCGGCGCGAATCCACATGTCCACGTCGAGTAGCGTCGAATACTCGTGTAACTTTCGTACGGAAAATTAAACGAGTAGAGAAATTTTATTTACGTAATACTTTAATGCGTGATACATCTCTCAGTACGGTATACTGAATTCCTGCTCGGCTGTCTCATTCGCGTCAACGTTCAAGTCGAGCGGCTCTTCGTAAGTGTTGTCCTCCTGCGTTTCGTAGATATTGCAGATCGGTATTGGTTTCATTTTCCGCGTTGCCTTCTCTATCCTGCGCACCAAAGTGATTTCAGCCGGGGTGCTAATGAAATTGGTCACTCTGCAATCTTTAACGCTACCGACTCGTCCGGTTCTACCGCATCTGAAACCGCACCGATCAAACGGTTGAAGCTTGCCCCTTGCAGATCATATAACATCGTGATATAAATAATGTAAACGTTTGTCTACCGACATTTCATATTGTTTGCTCGGCTCGAATTCTCGGCACATACAAATATACTTGTACAAATCAGATCTACGGCGGATAAGATAGACTTCGTTGCTACATACCTGTGTATGTAGTCGGCGGTATCAAATGGAAACTCAAAATTTAACACGTGTTTCACCGCCACTGTGTCTAAACCTCGCGAGCCCGCGTTTGTGGTGCACAACACGTTGCACCTGCCACTCTTAAAGTCAGCGTACATGCCATTTCTTGTGTACATCGGCATGGTACCGCTCAGGTGAACCGTATTTATGTTACTTCTCTTCAGGAACATATTGACCCAACCGCATGTGTTGTTACTATTGCTGAATACAATTACCGGCTCCTTGTTTGCTACCTTTGGTTTAATATATTTCAGGAGTTCCACTGGTTTGTTGCTCGACCCCACTCTCATGAATTTTTGTGACACAAGAACATGATGCAGTTTGTCCGAACTCACCTGCACCAGTGAATCCATCTGCGAGAAAATAGCGCATTAAAGACCAAGTGGTTCCAGCGCTAGTTCAATTCTATACCTACGTTTACAATATTCTGCAATACTTCTTGCAACCTGGAAGGCATAGTTGCAGATGTTAGCGTGAATTGGGCAGCGCTCGGAAATTTAGTCTCATCCGGATTTTGTGCAAAACCGAGCTAAAAACATTGTAGTACTTGAATATACATGCATTAGATGAATGTTCTGCAAACAAGCGAAAATATAAACGTACTGGCACTCTTTTCAAGAATACTTGCAACTTTTCTTCAAATGTTTCATCAAATAGAGCATCTGCTTCATCCAATACAATATGCCTGACCATGTCTAATTTGTATATAAAATTTGTTGTTAATTTACTGATAACTCCAAAACTAGCTACAATAATGTCAACATTGCTTAAAGGAGGATCTAACATTATCTTTTTTGTTTTTCCACCAGTAATGGTCTTTGTACTGATGTTCAGATGTTGACATATCTTTTGTGCTTCTAACTGTAAAAAAGTGTTTTTCAAAATGTTTCTCAAAGATAAACATATGTGCACAAATTAGTTTTACTGGAATATTAGGAAAAACATGCAACACAAACCCCAATTTGAAACGCTAATTCTCGAGTGGGTGTTATAATCAATCCCAATGGAGTATTGTATGATGTTTTTGTCAATGTTTTCCACATTAGAATTTTATGGATCATAGGCAGTAAGTAAGTAAATGTTTTTCCACAACCAGTCTCAGCTGTTATAACAGTATTGGCACCACTCATTACTTTGGGTATTCCATCTATTTGTATCTTCAGAGGCTTTGTAATGCCATATTTCTTTAAGACATTTATCAGTCGTGGGTCTAGATAAAAATGTTCAAAAGAATTTACTTCATTTGACTTCTCATATGCTTCTTGCTCTACCTAAAAGATATTAACACATTCGTAAATGAAAATAATAACAAAATGCTTAATCCAGGAAATACTAAACAGTGAGAAATGATTAGTTATTAATTATCTTACAGTTACAAGAGGATGTATGAAGAAGAAATCTCCTTTAGACTTATAATGATTCCATCCTTTGGTAGCCAGTGGTATAGGTTCAAACTTGGAATACTTTTGCCCATTATAAAAATTCAATTCTTTACGCTTACAAACGATTACAGGTATCCCGTTTTCCACCTTTTCTGATGAGCTAATATTAGTCACATTGCTTCTCCTTTTATTATTGGAACCTTTTCTCTGTAATAGACAATGTTAATGTATATATAAATTTTTTCTACGTGTACTACTATACCAATCCAACCAGAGAAAATAAAATACACTCACATAGCACCTTTGTAATTTTACGAATTGAACGTTTGTAGTTTGGGGACATAATTTGCAAAATCGAGAAAACATTGTCAACGATTAACAATTGGACAACACGTGAGCACAACGAGCATTGTCAACATACTCCACTAGATGATCGCCATCTTAACTTACCGACGAGACTCTCACGAATATAATACTACTTCAAAAAGTAAGTCGCGTCTGATTTATTATCGAGTCATACTACTATCTTAAATCTTCGTTAAGGAAAGTGGCGGCTCGTAGCGGAGACTTTGGAACTAATTTGAAACGCGCACAATCAGATAACGGGTCCAACAATCCACCGAACGCCCAAAGACCCCTTATTGCCAGTGAAAGAATAACGGGTCTAATGAATTGTATACCCGTTATTTTTGCGGAAACAACTAAGTACAATGCCAGGCAACAGGCAATAAGAATAAAAATAGACCAATCGCAATCGACTATTACAAGAATAATCTATTGTGATTAGTCTATTTTTATTCTTATTGCCCGTTGCCTGGCATTGTGCAAGGGGCTTAAGGGTCTAAAGAATCATTAGACCCGTTATTCAGATGTTTTGATGTTGCAAATTAGTTCCAAAGCCTCCGCTACGAGCCGCCACTTACCCTAACGAGGAAATGAGGTCGTAATATAACTCGACAATGAATCAGAGACACTTTTATTGTATAGGGTAGTAACGTTATTCAAAGGGGGGTTGGACGTCCTTTTATTCTATCCAGAAAAAATGGATAAGATACAATGGGTTGTAATTTTAGCAAAAACGATGCTATGGAGATAATTCGAAAAGCATTTTACAGTTTGAAATTTTTACTTTTTAGCCACATTGATAGTTTTAGTTGAAATTAAATGATATTAAACTTTACCGACTTGTAGTAATTACAAAAATGACTTTTTAATTTTTATACGTTACGTTCACAATAGTCGAACAGAATATTTTATTTTCAGCAAAATTAAAAAATCGGATTATCTTTTGCTTTCGAATATTGCCACTTTTAATAAAATAGAAGAGACCTTTATTTCCTAATAGTACGATTAACAGTAATGATCATTAATCAAACCCGGTAATCTATTATGATTTGACTCGCACGAACTCTTCGTGAGTAATTGAAATGCATTAAAAAGAATTAAAATAAAAAAAAATATAAAAAGGATGAAGGACGTTGGCAAGAAATAAAATCCTAATCATCGCGATATAACAGCTTCTTACCATGCGATTAAAAGCAACAATAGGAAAAAAATTACAAGAGCGGAAAGCGCCGCAATTAATCAATCATCTCGAAAGGAAGACGGCGATACGAGTCGTCCGTTCCAAGTCTCAACTTCTCCTTCAACGGACCTCCTTTAGATATTGACATAACAATGTAAGTAACAAAATTAATGCAACCAGAACGGAGTTCTAACCAGCGCGGCGAAGGGTCCGAGAGCGGCCGACGGGTTTTGGCGAGTCAAAACGACCCTTCACCCCGTTCGCGGAGACCAAAGCGGGTCTTTAGGGTCGCCAAGGGTCGCGTTCCTTCGGCGAAGGAAGGCGCGCGCAAAGAGCGCGCGCGGCTCTCCGCGTTATTTTCTCGGATCGATGCGTTTCGATCGCCGCCGTCGCGACGCTCGCCGACGTCGTTTTACCCACCGCTCGTCGGCGCTCGTCGGTGGCGGCAGGCGCGCTTGGCCGGTGTCGCGCGTTTCTACCCCCCGCAGGCTATTCGCGGCTACTCGCGGAGGATGTCGCGCCTATATCCGTGAGGGTGGCCGCGCTTACCCCGCTCGCTCGCTCGCGTGGTGGACGGCAGGAGAGACGGAGGAGAGCGGGATGGCTTCCGACGCCGAGGCGCAGGAGGCGCAAGAGGCTCAGGAGGCCGCCGAGGAGGAGGACTTGAGGATCTTCGAGACGCTCCGCATCTCCTCACCCCGGAAGGTCAATCGACGACGACGAGCACCGCTCGCTCGCTCTCTTCTCTCTCTCTCTCTCTTTCTCTCTTTCTCTCTCTCTTTCTCTTTCTCTCACCTCAGTATCGGCCACAGTGCACGCACACTCTCACGCACTCACGCACGCTGTTGTACAGAGGGACGAGGGTGCGCACACGAAGAACCGCCTAAGCTGTTTCGAGTGGCAGTCACATGAGATTGCTGTAGCTATTGTTGTTGTCGTCGTTGTTGTTATTGTTGCGGGTTGCCTTCGTTTTGACGGATCAAAGTGACGACGCGCTTCGATCGTTAAGCCCTTGCGAATCAAGCGCCTTGTGAGGTGCCTTGAGGCACCGGGCTTGAAAGAAAAGGAGAAATATTAGGTGCCTGTGTCGTTGGTATCGGCGTTATCAATGTGTAATCGCGCGAATGTTGTGTCAATAAAACTATGAGTATCACTGCGAGTCACACCTTCTGTGATTTTCCATTATTCCCAACGAAGGGTCACACGTTTCAGGCGACGGGACACATCTGTCGGCGAAGTATTCTCGATGGACGTCCATCTCCATCACCCCTTCCACCCTCTCGCCCTCCTACCTCTTAGCGTTCCATTCACGAGAAGAAGGACGATAACTTAATATTTCGCAGGTCAACTTTCGCAGAAGTCAGTCTCTGCGGTCTCGTTCTTTGCCCCTTCCTTCCTTCCTTCCTTCCTTCCTTCCTTCCTTCCTTCCCCCCGCGCTTCCACCCCTTGGCGCCCCATGTACGAGCGAGAGGACGCTTGGTATTCGGAGGGTTAATTTCGCTAAAATTCATTCCGCGTGGTCAGCTCAGAGTTAAACTCTCGCGTATGAGCCGAGGCGGGGGGAAATTACAGAGAGGGATTCTATGACGAAGAAACTGCCGCGACGCGACAAGTCCGGGCATTCCGCGTGCGGTTATAATTTCGCCGCTATCTTCTGCGGACACGCGTAACAAGTCGCCCGACGGCATCGCCGGGCTGAGCGGAATTGTGCGAGCTCGCGAGAGCTCGCCGAGACTTGTAGGCGACGCGCTATGCTATGAGCTACGTCACACTCTGGCTTATCATCCTCCCTCCCCCCTTCCCGCTCCACCCCGCCGCCACGGCACCGCGGTGGGTGCATGCAACATGCACAAACGCATTCACATGCTAATCGCACGGGGTCACGTGCACTGCCGTATCATCCGCTACAAAGGCTTTCAATGTGTACATGCCCGGACGTACACAGTGCGCCCATCGAAGGGCAGCGGATCAATAACGGAAGCGCACGCGATATTGATCACTTTACGATCAACATAGTTATTTGATGGGACATTGATCGGAGCTGGCGGATCGGCTCGCCGCATTAAGCCCGTCCCGATCGATCCGACCCTGAGCGCGATGTATCCGGGCTATTTTTAGCCGAGGAAGTTTCGCGTAGCGGAGAAAACGCACTTATTTTAATATCGCGCTGGGACCTCCGGTTGGGACCTCTTGGTCGCTTCTTGGCGCGACGCGCCAGCGGAAAAATCAAAGGATGGACGAGGACCTGAGGATCGGTTGTTCCAGCTTCTCGGTAAGCTAACTGATTGTCAAGTCATATGTTTGTCTCTGTTTCTCCTTCAATTTAGACAAAGACAGACAGTATGATTTAACCATCAGTCAACTCACCGAGGGACTGGAACAACCTGCCCTGAGCGCGTTCTTGTGTACTTGTATTTTCACCGTGAGAGAGAAGAGATCTCTTGTGGGAAATTCGCGAGACTTCAAACGAGTTGTGACGTTAGTCGCAATGTTCAATGGATATATATGTTCAATGTATCGTTATTGCTCTATCCGGCTTCAAGACTTTTACCTGTCCAAATATTTGTCGATTTGTTCTCCCAGTGTTCTGTGACGCTGATCAAAGTATTGTAACGACTGCGATTTTTTAATGATTGTTGGGAGAAGAGCAATAAAAAAAATTAATACACACGTACGACACATTGCGAGCATTCACCAACGGAGGAAGCAACCGTATCGATCCTAATCTAATCAGCGCGACTGCAATCACAGCGAGGAAACGAATCGCGCTCAGCAGACCGTGATCGGAATCTCCTCCGATCGACGCGTCGCCGTCGCCGTCGCCGTTGTCGCCGTCGTTATTAGCGATTGCGCGTCTAATTGCGGTCGCTCGCGAGATTCCGTCACGTTCGTCATTACCGCAGCGTCTCCCTTTCGTTGGGGCGCGCCCGGGGGGGGGGGAGGGGGGGCCGCAATCGCACGAATCGCGGGCGTATCGACTCGCGCGTGAACAAGGGTCGCGGTTGCCATAGCGTTGCACGAAATCGATTTCACCTGTCGCTGTCGCTACCCCCCTCCCCCCCGTTCCCTCCTCTTCAATCCGCTCGCGCTGTCGCGTGCTTTCCAAGTCTATCTTAATTTATCGGACGCCATCGAGGGGACCGACTGATCTTAGTCGGTCGCGCGACGGCGGTGCCGTTTAATCCAGTTTTGTCGATGCCCCGGCATTTAATTCCCCGTCACCCCCTCCCCCCCTCTGCGAGTTCCTTTCTTATTGCGCTCGCGGTGGCTGCGGATTGATCGGACTCGGGGAACGCGCGCCTCTTCCGTCGTTGCTCGCGGTGCCACGCCGGTGGCGCGTTCGCTCTGCTAATTCAAACGCGTGCCCCGACTCTTTCCGCTTTTCTTAGTTTTCCTTCGGCTCTACTCACGACGAGTGGTCGGGAGGGGGAGGGGGGGGGGCAAACATATCGCGTTTCGTTCGTTACTCTGTCTCATTAAACACAGCCTCGGGAGCTACGAGCTGAACGCCACTGTTCAACAACGCGCGCGCGCCGCGCTGTGCTCGGTGGCTCTCGTTGTGATTTATTTCAACGATATTTAAACGAACGGAGTGACAAGTGGGCGTGCGCTGCGCGATAATTCTGTGAATGATAAAATAAACCGGCCCGTGCGAAAGGATTGTAATAGTAAAATGTGAATATGTATCCGTGAACGCTCTGGTTTCACGTTTCTCGCTGTGAAACTGCTGGTGAAAAAAATGCGAACGCGTCTGGCTTTCTTCCTTTTTTTTTTTTCCACGCAGAGTCTTGTTGAATTATCTGTGACGGCGTAATTATATGTATTATCGTTCACACAGGGTCAGAAATAATCGCACGGATCTGCAGTGGCGATTGATTATTCGCTAATGCATCCAGTCTGCATAATTATGACGAGTGAACCGGTCGATAGAGCGGTCCGTATGAATATCGGGCAAATTTGCCGGCGTATCAATCTGCCGAAATTACGTAGCTTTAATTACACGCCGAGAGATTTCATTACGTGCAGAAAAAGGTTCCAGCGGACTTATAAGTATATTAATCTCCGGAATCAATTTTTCCCTCCTCTCTCTCTCTCTCTCTCTCTTTTATTTATCCTCCTCATTACTCATCTCTGCCCGATTCTAATGCGATATTTTAGACCAAATACTTTAGAATTATACATCAGACGTGGTAGCGTCCAGAAAAATGTCACGTTTCACGCACGACAATAATTTAACAAGACCGTAACAATTTAACAGACCGGAGCTTGTTTGCGGCATAAGTATACTCTGTAAAAAAACAAAAAAAAAAGAAATGCCGAATAAATACAGCACTCCACGTTTCCGCATTTAATATTAATCCTCTTGCCGTCCGAGAGGGATCTTACTTGTTTATACGACGCAACGCGGTATGTTTCCGCATAAATTTCAGCGAACGAAGCTTACGGGGTTCCGCTATTGTAGAAACATTCCGACGCGGGCTCCGATGTTTATCGCCGACACGAAAAACGCGTAACCGTAATTATTCGTCGCGTTTACGGTGCAAACTACGCGAGTACGCGCGCGCATGTGTATACGGAACGGAGATGAAATTCAATGCTCCTGTTATATTTATTCAAATATCGCGATATCGCGCGTGGCGGGTGCAATACGCCGGTGGCATTCATTTTTCTAAAAATACAATATCATATTCCGATCGCTTCGCGGGCCGGAGAGAAAAAAGGAATTCCCTCTGATGCAGACTCGTAAAATTTTCGCTATTACTGTTCGCGCGCGCGCGGGGGTTTGTATTATCTACCCCATCGAACGACATCGCCAGTTACACGTAATTTACACATTTCGTCAAGCGGGCGCGTTTTTGTATTTAGCGATGAAATTTTCAACGTCCCGCGAGCATTATGCAAATGTACGCGCGAGAAGAAATATCGCTCGACGCGCGGGGCGCGCAAATCCATTTTTTTTACTCCCACGCTCGCGATCCGCTTGCTTTTAGCGGAGGATCGCGGTGTGTGTCATCGACTTAGCGAGCAGAGATTAAAATTACTTCAAACGTGCGCGCGCGCGCGCGCGAGTCCGCTCACTTGCCAAAACGCTCACGCGTCCTCATTGCGATTTTATAGCGGTTTTATTACGGTCGCGTGCGCAAAATTTCAAACTCACGCGCCGGGATCTCTCTCCTCCCCCTCTCTCTCTTTTTCTCCCTTTCGCTCGCTCGCTCGGCCATCCAGCGGCGAATTTACAAATTTTTACGCGGATACGTGCCTCGCGCGAGCCGCCACGTAAAAACCCGCTTGCATTTCGAGGTAAATACCGGCGCAGTAAATAGGTCGCGTTCGTTCAACGGTCGTTTCCCGAGACCGTCGGGATATTTATGGACGCTGGCGAATAATGGCTATTCAATATCGCCGAACTTAACCACCGTGGAAATTCGAGGTATTCCGTTAGCGCGGCGTGGCGCGTTATGCGGCATTATGCCGCTGCGAAAACGCAGCTTACATCCGCGGGGTGAAACTATTTTCGGGTCACGGAGGTAACAATAACGATCTCGCGTATTCACGCGCTCCCCCGGTGGCTGCCAGCCGGCCGGCCGGCCGGCCAGCGACCTGTCGCGCAATTAAAGCGCGATTTCAATTTGAGTCCGCGCCGGCCAGATAACGAATGAAAAAATATATCTGAATGAAAATACGAGGGCAATCTGAAAAGTTCTCGGCCTGACACATAGATGGCATTAGAAACTGTCAAACTGTATTGTGTTGGAAAGTGGCATCCCTGATATAAAACCATGTAAAATTTTATTTCGATCTGTCAAGTTATTCGAGTAGCAGCACCAGTTTAATATTGACGTATCATTGTCTTTTTTAAAGTGGAAAAAATGGAATATCGTGCAGTGATTAAATTCTTTGTTTTGGATGGTTTAATACCAACAGAAATTCATCCGAAATTGTTAAAAATGTATAAGGATGCATCAACTTCACTTTCCACTGTGAAAAAATGGGCTGCTCTTTTTAAATCTGGTCGTACAAGCCTCGAAGATGATCCACGCGAAGGTTGTCGGCAAAAACTGCTACAACACCACAAAACATTCAACAAGTTCATGATATGGTGTTAGATGATCGGCGAGTGAAAATGCGTGAAATAGCTGAGGCCATAGGCACTTCGAAAGAACGAATTGGAAATATTTTGCATGAAGAATCACATATGAAGAAGCTTTGTACAAGATGGGTGTCGCATTTGCTAACAATTGACCAAAAACGTATTCGAATGCGTATTTCTCAAGCGTGTTTGGATCGTTTCAAGCAAAATAAAATGGATTTCAAGCGTCGTTTCATAACTGTTGATGAAACTTGGATCCACCACTATAAACCAGAGCGAAAAGAACAGTCGAAACAATGGATCGAAGCCGGTGGACGTGCACCAAAGAAGGCAAAGACGGTTCCATCAGCAGGAAAGGTTATGGCAACAGGTTTTTGGGATTACAAAGGTGTTTTGTTGATCGATTATCTTCAGAAAGATAAAACGATTAACTCTGAATATTATTGTAACCTTTTGGATCTATTGAATGCAAAAATTCGCGAGAAAAGACCTGCTGTAAAGAAGAAAAGAATCGTTTTCCATCAAGACAATGCACGTGTTCACACAAGTGTTTTGACAATGGCAAAATTCAACGAATTAAAGTACGACGTAGCGTATTCACCAGATTGAGCTCCCTCTGACTATTATCTGTTTCCACACCTGAAAAAATTCCTGGCTGGAAAGCGTTTTACATCAAATGACGAAGCTATCGCAGCCGTGGATGGATATTTTGCAGACCTTTCGGAATCACACTTTTTAATAATGGTATTGAATTATTGGAAAAACGTTGGAATAAATGTATTGAAGTTTTAGGAGATTATATTGAAAAATAAAATATATTTCACGGCAAAAAAATTTTTCTTTCATTGTTAAGCCGAGAACTTTTCAGACTGCCTACGTATTCCGCTCGAGTGAGAGACTCGAATTCGAGTCTCCCGCCAATTCCGCGCGACGCGCACGCGATATCCCCGCGTATTTTCTCTCCGGACGTTCTCGCGCGCAAAAAAATATCACCCAGTAATATCAGCGAATACCTTCAATCAGCTAAAAGCGTTAAACGCGGGACGAGCGGAGAATCGAGCGAGTAAAGAGAAACGGATCGCTCTGCTCGCGCGTGCTGTCCCTGTTGAACAGAATGGCGAAGCGAGGAAGCGAAACGGACGAGAGGTATATTAATTGTGCTACGAGCACGTAATGTATACATTCTCGTTTAGATCCAAGTAGGCATCCAGGTCTAACGGCGCCAAGCCGTGAAGGAGGAGGAGGAGTATCATTGTGGAAACATTGGCCTATAAATTCGGGAAGTGTGTTGCATTGTGTCGCGCACGGTTCCACGGTTCTAGCGTTCCCTCCTCGATATCTGGCGGACACAAATATCGCGAGCGTAGATTTTCGCGTGCTGATACCCGCCTACCTACACCTGCACCTGGATGAAGCCGTGGGCGGCAGGTCGCGAACTCGCCCCGGGCAGCACGATTCGGGTCACGTAATCTGCTGTCGCAGGCAGACGAAACTTCGCTACGTAACTGTCTGCGCCGTGCGCATCCGATTGTTCGGGGAATTGGCGACGATCGTAACTACCCTCGATGCGCTTTCTCTCCTTACCTCCCCGAAGAGAGCGCGAGCGAGAGCGGGATAGGACGGAGAGGGGAAGAGAGAGGGAGAGAAACATTAACGGCGATCGAGTGGCGGACTTGGAGAGTGCGGACGGCCCGAGCCGAGTTGGATTCTCGCGCACGCTTCGGGAATACGAGGCGTTCGCAAGTGAATACGATCGTGCAGCGGAAATTCCTGCGAGGATGCGCGGCCAACCGGCGAGCAAGACGAGGTAGTTAATCATGTTTTCGAGCGAGTCTGTTACACGGCACGTTGCGGCGAGATCGATCCTCCTACGCGGCGAATTCCTCTTTCCCGCACGCCATCGTCGTCGCCGTCGCCGTCGCCGTCGCCGGGAGGAGGTTGCCGGAGTTATCGGAAAAAATCGAGCGACGGCGCTCTCTCGATGGAGACGTTCAACCCGCCGTGTCAATAGAGGCGGAAAGAAAGAAACCGGGGGAGGAATTCCCGAACGCGCGCACGCGGATCGAAGCGGGACGAGCCTCTTCGCGAATTAAATACAATTTAATCAGGCGTCTCGTTAGAGCGGGATGATCAAACGGAGTGAAACGTGTAATCAGTAAATTCTCTATGCATGAAGATATACCTCCCTCCCCCCCCGCCGCCGTCTGCGACTTGCCGCGCGCCGAATGTTAATTCCATTATGATCTCGTTCCCGACTTTCGTTTGCGCTCGAACGGAATAAGACGGTTATTACGAAGTTAGATTACGGTCCGTTTCCATTCGTAAACTTGCCAACGTCGAATCGGCGAGAGAAGAGAGAGAGAGAGAGAGAGAGAGAGAGAGAGAGGCGATGGGAAGAGCGAGAGCGAGGAAGGACGGGACGAGAAGGACGGGCGGTTACAGGCAAAAGAGGAAAAATGAGAGTTACCTTTACATGTCAAGTCTTAATCCGTCTCGTAATCGTAATTACCGGCGGAATGAATTCTCCCGGGCGAATCTCTCAGCGCGCATGCGCGCGTCCGAACTTAATCTCGCATTGCTACTAATTCGAGGGGATACACCGAATTCCGAGTGGCTCGCGCAACGGGCTGGATTTATGAAAAAGTAATTAAACGCGTCGCGGACTTGGATCAGCGGCCGGCCGGGTCGGCGCGGCGGTGCGGGGCGAGGCGGGATCAAAGCGGCCGCTCTCTGTGATCGGTTATCAGAGCGAAATATTTAATTAGCGCGACGATAATTGGCGTCGAAATTGCCGGCGTAAATATTCAGCCGCGCGCGCTCGCGTCGCTGCTTAATAATTCGGACCTTCTGTCCCGTCTCGGCTGGCACGCGCGTCCTTTCAATTTGGACGATTAATGACGATTTAATTACCGTCCCACCCGCGCCGAACCGCCGCAAACAGCAGCGGATGCGTCGTTCGCAGCGCGCGCGACGCAGCCGGAAATCGTGCGAATAAACCGGCCGTGTTTATCTCGCCGGGGAATTTTGGCAACAAGCGTTTTTATGCCACCTTAATTGCGTCGCGACACTTTGTGGGATGCGCAACGCGATCTGCCGTGTTGACGCGTCGCCGTCGATTCGCTCGGTGTTCGATTTGCCCGCCGCGCGCGCCCGGGCGAGACAGTTTCATTTCAATTTTTCGGAAATATTTGACCGACCGCAGGCGACCGAGCAATTTAATACGGCGTTCTTCGATATATACGGCCTTGTTGGACAATTTCAACAATGTTGCCGCGGTCGAAAATTAAAGAAAAGAGGGGGAAACACACACATATACGCGGATGAAATTTATTCGTCTCGCATGGTGCAGAGGGAAATTACTGGAATAATTTGACGTAACAAGCACGATCTCGCGTGGATCTGCGTCAGGAATTGAAATTGTTGAGAGCTGAGAAACGTTGAAATTATCGCTGTAAAGCGAGAAAGAAAATCAACGGTCGTATGCGATTGTCAGCGAAAGACGTTTTCGCCAGGCAAGCTGGATTTCGAGTTTTCCTCGAGGCTGAAAAACTACGTCGTCTCGGGCGACGGCTTTCAACACTCGCGGCCAATTTCGCGCCTCTCGCAAGCGCCTCGAAATAAATAATTCAAAGCAGCCTCCGAAGAATAGCCGCTAGTAAACCAACTTATCCGCAACGTGGCCGACATTCTATCCGGCAATTTCAGGTGGAGGCAGTCGATGCATGGCTCGAGCGCGAATCGAGTCGCATTGTAAGGTTTCCGTTGTGCGCGCGCGAAGCTGAAGTGGCAGTCATTATGAGCCGCCGGTAGACGGTCGCGAGTACCTGCATTCGCGCGGGTCCTGCGTTCTCACAGCGAGACAAAGGTCGAAGGTCGGAACTTCAGAAGCCGCGACGCGAGGGCCGCTAATCTATTCCCGGCTTAAACGAGCGCTTCGGCATTCAAGCCCCGCCGCCGCGCCGCGCCGCGCGCGCGAGGTAGAAAGCTCGTGGAAGTAAAATGGCTTTCTTTACGACGGCTCTCCGCTCGTCCGCGGCTCGACTCGAACGGGAATGTACCGTACATGGCCTGGCGCGGCGCGCGCGCGATGAGACCGATAATTTATAACAATCGTTGCTCCACCCTTGCGCGAGCCGCTGCAAACTGCTACCGAGGGATCGATGAAAACGTTCAAGCGACTTAGGCGGAAAAAACAGATGTGTCTATTATCAGGCCCGAAAGCGGACCTTTTACGCGGGGATTATCAATTAATATTCGCGGCAAATTTGGACGAGCTAAGACGAGCGAAATTCGACGGACACCTTTCGCGTTACCGTGAAAAGCGGCGTGAGAAAACCGTCTGATACCCGTTTCGCGGGAGTATTGTGAACGTTATATCTCGAGGCACAAATGGAATGGAGTAATAGCGCGAATATAACGGGCGGATCGAATGTTTCATGTTTCAGGTGGGCCCAGATGACGCTATGACTCACGATCTGACAACCACTTTGAGGAGCGAGTTGGCGGCCCTCGAGTACAAGCGAGACCGGCTTATGAGCGAGGTAAAGCGATTATCGGTTCTACGGTACTCGTTTCGGTAATCGTTCGCGTTAGTAATCCATTCACCTCGGGCCGTTTAGCTGCAAGAGATGAAGAGCGTCGTGAGATCGCGGGACCAGAGGGTGGTGGAGCTGCAGGTGGAGACTGATCAGCTCCGCGAGCAAGCGGCCAGGCAAAATGCCGTGGTTTCGAGTCTCAAGAAGCGCATTCAGGTGAATTTGCCAAAGTAATAAACGGCCGAGCGAGGGCTCGCCTCGTTAGCGCGCCCTTAGAGACAGTCGCTCGTTGCCCAATCGCTCGTTAATCCCCGCCGAAAGAGAGCTCGACTCTGAATTCACCGCGGGAAACACGATTGTCGGCGGCGCGTCTTGTAGAATAATCCGATAACAATTTCAGGAATTGGAGGAGAGGGAGAGGAGTCTGTACGCGAATCAGGGCAGGAGCGAGATCACGATCCAAGGTCTGCAGCGTGACGTCAAGTACCACGAGGAGAAGGTCAGGGAGTACGACAAGAAGATCCGACAGCTGGAGCACAACATCTCCGAGGAGATCCAATTAAAGGAGCGCGCACGTCTGAACCTGCAGGTGTGCCGCGGGTTCTCCACTAATCCGCTCGATCGCGTTTCCACGGCCGGCGAGCCGCGCGGCGCGCGATCGACTTTGATCGCAGGATCTGTCTGTCTACCTCACATTTGCTCCGCTAGGATTTCGTACGGCGGCTGGCACACGCGCTGAGCGTCGAGTTCTGCGAGACGGCGCATCACAGCCCCGAGACGATGATTCACAAGGCCGAGGAGCTCGTGCAAGAAGTGAATCGTCTGCGCACGAAAAGCTCCAACGTCGAGACGCAGTTGACCGGGGTCGAGGTGGACTTCAGGACGTGCAGGGACGCCCTGGATCGCGCGAGCGCGGAGAAGGATCAGTTGCAGAGACAGGTGTCCGGTCAGCTGGTCGATCTGGATCGTTTGCGTCAGGTATGGAACGCGGAACGACCCGCTCGTCGAAAATAAAACCATTCCGGAAGATTTATCTTTCTTACGAGTAAAATTAGCAAGGATTCGGTAACTTCTGTTTTTTTACAAATATCTCTATCGAGGATCTTCTATTTTCTCAAATTTCTTCCTACGAGGACTCGACGGAGAAGCGACAAATTTCTCGCTTGAACTGTTTCGAGCAGTCGAGAATAGAAAATGTCATGTCGTTAATTATTTGGCCGGCATGCAGGAGAAAGAATGCCTGGAGATGCAATACAGAGTTGCGGAAAGGGACATGAACGACCTGAGAGACAAGCTGGTGAACGCGAACAGGAGCATATCTAGCGCGACGGGCAACATATCCAATCAGGAAGCGTTGATCTGCCAATTACGAGGTAAACCGCAGCGGCTGGATCGATTCGGACCCCCCGCACCTTCTCATAACCCGTAATCCGCTCTTGCAGAGGACCTGAAGGCCCGCGAGGAGAAGACGCAACGCTTGCAAAATGAGTTGCGCCACCTCCTGGAGTCCTTGGCGATCCTCGTCAGTACGCCCAGCCGATTCGTCGAGTCTCACGAGAACGCGGTCAAGGATCGCGTTCGGGAGATCCTGGCGGACCACAAGGACCAAGCGCTAGTAGCTTATCGTCTTCTTCACTCAAATATCGTCAAGCCTTAAGCCAAAATCACCCTTGTTGCAATCTTACAATCTTCCATTAACTTCGCCCGCGAAAAGTTATGCTCCCGAGATTAGTAAATTAGCGAAATTCGCTGAAACATATTTCGAAGGTATCGAAGTATGAATTGCTCTAAAAATAAAAGAATTGCATCCGTGAAAGTATGAAAATTCCACGGGGAATAACACGGCGCGATATCGCGCTGATTAGACGCGCATCACATGTTCCCCTTTCGCAGAAAATACAGAGTCTCCGGGAGAAGGTGAACTCGGCGACGGAGTCGACGAATCGGCAGAGCGAGTTGGTCGAATCCACGATGATGAAGGTGCGCAGCTTGGAAGAGGAGCGCGCCAGTTTGGAGGCTAAGATACACAAGTTGGACTCTGAACTTACGAGCAGCGAACTCTCGAGAGAGTCTTTACGCAGGGACAAGCAGACGGTAGTAACTTTAAACATCTCTCTCTCTCTCTCTCTCTCTCTCTCTCTCTCTCTCTCTCTCGGAGGCTACAAAGTGTTAACACGATCTTCACGTTCCATTGGCCGGGGGGTTAAAAATCTTGACCGGTTAACTGTCTTGCTTTCATCTTCAACCACACGCTCGGGACGCGTTCCGTTGATTCTCTCAAATCTTTCTCTTCGCGCGGAAAAGAGGCAGCAATGGAATGTTCACACCTTCTTCTCATCGACTTCCTGATATCTTTTTTCTCCGATGTCATCTACACAGCGAAGCGCGACAGATCAATCGTAGACTGACTTCTCATCTCGCAACTTCTTTCAGTTCTTAACTTTCCTGGACCGACTGGGCAAGACGATGCAAATGGACGAGATCTCTCAGGAGATCGGGATCGATCTTCATACCGAGTCGCTGCTGGTGCGGGCCGAGCAACTGGCCAGGTTGGAGACCGACAAGCTGGTCGACAAGGTGAAGGGCACGACAGATCTTGCGCTTTTCTTTCTCTTCCGATGCCGCTCTGTCACGTTGCTAACGCTCTCCTTTGTTCTGTGTTTCTTTGTCGCAAATCGTGTGCTTACCACACGCGCAGTATTTGTGCTCCAGCTACACAACCCTACCGAGGATTCGGCGCGAGCGATCGTTCCATGAGCTCCCCTGTCTCAAAGAAGTAAGCCCCCGGCGCGAGCAAAGCGCCTTAGAGAAGAGCTTCACAGCATCCTCAGACATCCTTCGTAGACGTTCATTTCGTTACCGGTTCCCATTCTCCGTCGAATATCTTTAAAGTAGAGAGAACGCTTTTTCCTCGGTTCCTCCACACTTTTGTCCAGACTTCCCCGATTGCATCGCGCGCGGCCGACGATCGGGGTTCAACGTCCCGGCCGGCGACGTAAAAACTTGTTGGTTCACACGTCGGCAATTTATCGGGCGTATCACGCGTAATGAAGTTCCACTTAATCCACGGGCCCCGTCGCTCGCGGCACGTCGATACGTCGCGCTCGCTCTTTTCCGCGGCAAACTTGACGCGCTGTACGAACTTTTAATTAAATAACCTTCGATGTGAACGCGATTAAAATTTATGTCAGCGAGACGAGGCGAGGGGCTCCGCTCGTCGCGGCGCGGCGAGCAACTTTCCCTTTATTTTACGCGACTTTACGGCAAAATTCATTTTTTTAGAAACGGTAAATCTAAGCTTTTGCATATCGCGGGGCGAAGTTGCGTATGTGCGTAAACACGATCACCAGTTGAGTCACCACGAGTTATCTCGCCCGTCGGTCATCATCGTCACTCAGGTTTCAAGCTCGGCACGTTTATGTTCCGCTGCATCAGCACCCGCCGTCGCACTCGCCCGGGAAAACGATCTCGAAGTTGAACATCTCGGCGGCGCATGTTTGACGAATGCATTTCCTCTGCCTCGCACAGACCTCCGTGGTGTATCAGCTGCAGCGACGAGTCCGGACGCTACGGGAGCAGCTGCAGCGCAGGGACCTGCATCTGGACCTTCTACGCAGGAAGCTGTCTCTGCAGGAGGACAGCGTGAGGATGAAGTCCCTGCTGCAGAGCGAACGGGACGAGGCGAACATTCGGTCTGTTCTGAGATAATCCGTGACTGATTGCGACGGAATTTCAATGGCCCATCTCGAGCTCGCCTCCCTGCGAGAGAATGTGTCGGGTCGCTCGATAAGTTCGCGGGGATTTTCACGAGAAACTCCGAGCCGATCGTCCCACGTAGCCGGGCATCGCTTTATCCTTTTTTTCTTTCGTTTCTTGCGACCTTCCGTCGTACCTTGACGAAACGTCAAGATACATCGTTGAATAAAATCAAGGCCTGACTGTATCGTCAGGCCTTTGCAAAAATGCTCGCAAACGATTATCGAACGACTCGGATACTCGGCGAACGCTTCTTTCCGCGCTCTTTTCTGCACGCGGCGCGCAAAAGAACGACCCTCGCAGACAGCGGAGAATCCGGCGGTCAGGCTTATCCTCAGGGCGCGGGTTACTATCCTCATGTAAATCGCAAATTCGCAACGCGAAATGAAAGGGTGCGCAGTTATCGCGCGGAAAGGCAGTCGCGATGATTCTATTTTGTTACAATTGACTCCTCCCCCCTCCCCTCGATCTTCAGTCACGATCCCGCCGGATGCAAAATGTCGACGGCGGGACGGAGGAAGGGGAGGGGGGGGGGTGGGAACAATGCGTATCGACTAACCGTCCGATGAGAGAAATATAGAACCGCGGTTTATCGGCAAATTTATCCGGCCGAGTGCAGCTTTATGCATTCAGGACGCAGCATGGTCGGTGTGCGTTTGCGACTTTTTTCCTTTATTTTTTTCCCGGTTCCGCGCGCGCGGTGAGCGCACCGGCGCGGTTACCTGTAATTCCTGTTAGTGGATCGCGGTTTACCCCGTGCACGCGCCGAATGCAGTTTTACGCGTCGTTGTCGAACGAGAGAGGCGTTCCCGCCGATGCTGGGCGAGCGAAATGAGGAATTAAGAGAGAAGGAGAGAGAGAGAGAGAGAGAGAGAGACGGAGAGAAAGAGAGAGAGAGAGAGACGGAGAGAAAGAGAGAGAGAGAGAGAGAGAGCGCGAGCGGCTTTCTTCCCTTTCTTTCAGCGCGAAGAAGCTGGTGAAGCAGGTCGAGCGGCTGCAGGTCCAATTGTCGGAGGAGAAGTCGCGGAATCGGGAGCTGAGCGCACAATTGACGGAAGCGGCGGATTACAAGGCACGTAAAATTTCGAGAATCGCGCTGTCTCATAATCGGTCGAAGGTATGGGTGACGCATGCGGCAATTTCGCGATTTTGCGCTCGATGACGACTGAGCGTCGGACGTTGAATGACGACCCGTCGGGCGAAAGAGTTCCTCGCTGCAAGCTTCTTCGCGTTTCTTCCAATTAACGACGAAGAAGCGATACGCCACGCTCCCGCGGCTGAACGTGACGTTACTTGCTCGCTCGGGATGTGTCCGCGATAAATTTTTCCGCGCACTCTTTCAACGTGACTCTTCGTGATTGCCGCTGCTTCGCGAGGCTCTTTCGCGATTAATAAGTGAGCGGCGGCCGCGAGTCGATCATTAATCTGCCTCACCGCGGCGTTCTAATACACATCGCCGGGTCAGCCGGTTGAGCCGACTTTACTTTGTTTCGCATTATTTGTCGTTATCTCTTCCGCTTGAGGGGAGAAAAAATCCGCGGCTAAATCGGTTTTACGCCCGTGAACACCGGCGCGGCAACGCGGTGAGCGACGTTCGCCGGGGAAACAAAATTCCACAACGAATTCTCGCCGTGAGCCGCGCTAGAAAGCCTTTATAATCCGCGGGCTATCGATCAGGCGTTTTAACCCACTTTACAGATAGCCGCGCTGGAACGCAGCCGGAAAATAGAGGAGCTGCAGAAGCGGCTCGTGGAGAGCGAGATGCTGCGGACGCGTTACAACCGAAAGTTGACGATGGTGAAGGAGCAGATGAGGACGACCGCGGAGACCGCCGACCAGGAGAGGTCGATCAACGACCACTCCCTGCAGCTTCTACGCGACGAGCTTGCCCAGGTGAAGCAGAACCTCTCCGAGGTCACAAGAAGAGAATCCCAGGTGAGCGATACCGTCATTGGTTTTGCGCGCGTTTTTCGCGCGTAGATCTGCGCGCTGACGCTGGCGCGTCTCGATTACGCGATACGAGGTGAAAAATAACGCGACAAATCGCCGCGATGACAAATCGGCGCATAAATCGGCGGCTAATATCGGAGAATATCGTCGCCCGTCGGCAGGCTTACGCCTGGCCGAAAACGCACGAGACAGACGCACACGTCTCAGCTCGCGGCGAATCGCGTATTCGGCACGCGCGGCGCATCAGCATTCACGTAATTCTGATTTATGGCCATTCGTGTGCGCGGACGCGGACTCGCGACCGATTGAATTGCGCGAAAGGAATTTCGCCGGGATAGAAACGATGACGAAGCCGTCCGCGGTGCATTCGTATACTCGCGCGCGCTGCATACCGAAGACGTCCACCACCTTCCGCGCGCGATCCCCCGAGATTTTCAGGCCAAAGGGCGCGGGACTTTTCCGCGGGAAGAGAGAAGAGGGGAAGCTCAGTCCTGCTGCTCTGCGCGATGCTTCGACCGCTCCGCCGAAATAACGTTCGATTGTCATGCGGAGAAGCGCGTTCCCTTCCGGAAGTTATCGCTTCGCCGTAATCCGCCGCCGCTTTGATCTCTCATTATAGCCGTAAGCGCGTCCGCGCGCGCGCGGCTCAGCCCTGTTACTCGCGGCCGGGCGGAGGCAGAGGGGCCTCTCGTTAATTCATTCAGCCGCTCTCAATGACTCTCGATGACAGCCATTCGCGCAATTGCGACCTCTCGTTGGCCGCGTAACGCGCGTCCACGACGATTCGGAGTGACTCTGCGCCGCAGTGATTCGAGACGCACTCGCGCGCACGTCGCCGCCGCATCGCGCCGCGCCGGATCGTAAAGTAGATAGTACGTTCGATCTCGCGGCGTGGATCCCGCGCGAAAGGACTGTAAATCTTGCATGCACGCGGTGCTCCAGCCCGATGTCATTGCCGATGCAACTTTGCCCGGAACTTCGACACGACTCGCGTAAGCTAACATTAATTACGCGGAGTAACTCGCGAGCAAACGCTAGTCCCCCGTGCCGCTGCATTTCTTCCTGCGGTGGAACGATTTTAGCTTCAAGTCGCAAGTTGGAAATTTGCGGCCAGCAATGAGGGAAAAATGTCGTTGCTCGGCTGCGATGCAATTTCGCTTGTTCCTGCGTCGCCGAAGCTCTGCGAAAATTATCGGACTTTTTACGCGGCGACAAAGCGGCCATTATTGCGTAACAAGTAATCTCAGGCTTTTTCAGGTGAATTATTCCAAAGAAAGTGGAATCGTACAGACGCGCTAAAGAGATTACCGTTCTCCGAAGTGCCGCTGTAAATTTGCTTGTCGCAGCGCGAGATTGCCTGGTGCGCGCGCGATAATATTGGCTGGTGCGATAATTAAGTTCGAATTTCCCAATGGACTCTCCACGAGGAAAAGTCCGAAATGACCGATTACACGCTGCCCGATGCCGGCGCGCATCGCATGCACCAGGCAATTTAGCGTCACGGGAAATATTTACAGCATTTTCCGAGCCAAACTTTGCTCAGCGGTCTACGCGCGCGCAGGGACGATTGCCTGCGCGTAGAGTCGCGAGACAGGAAAGTTAACGCTCGGACGAGTCGCGTTCGGCCGACCTATCGGCCGCGTAAGCTACGAGAGAGAGAGAGAGAGAGAGAGAGAGAGAGAGAGAGCACGACTCAATTCGCAAATCGCTCATTTCCTGTCTCAGCTCCAGAGCTTCCGTGTCTCCGTGGCGAAGTTATTGTCGGAGCCAATCTGCACGCCCGATTACGAGATCATTTCGCGGCTGCAGAAAATGGTCGCGGCTCATCGCGACTTTACGATGCTGTCCCGCAGATACGACGAGCCTTTGGAGACGAGTCCCTCGAGATGCACCAGGTACTTTCAGATAAAAGTAATCGCGTCGAATGCTGTCGTGTACTCTCTGCGATTTACATTTCTCCTCAAATTCGCCGATACTTCCGCTACTCAAGCGTCGGCTCACGCCGCAACTTCACCTCCCGGAAGAGCAAGCTAGTCAGTTTCATCATTCCCGCGGGACGCTAATTCGCGGATTTGCCTCGCGAGGCTCCTACGGTAAAAGAGGATTTTCCCTTTTCTCCGCGCTGTATAAGCGGCACCCTTCTCGGAATACAAAAGACAAGGCAAAATAAAAGATCCACGGCTGCGCGCGAGTCTCTCACGCACTCTGTGTCATTTTACCTTTACCTTCCGCATCGTTGCAGCATCCACCCGGTCCATCCGCCGAGATCGCCCGGTTCACGCTGCACCCGCTACGAGGACAGCGGCTTCGCGGACCCGCCGGATCTCCATGACATCGACGACGACTACAGCAAGAGACCGGTGAGGAGCAGCCTTCTTCCGTGACATCGGCCAAGGTTCAAGTTTTAAGCGCGTCCCCTTGTGAACGAGAGATCGCAGCGTTTGCGATCGAGTTCGAGCCACTCTAGCGGATCGGAACTTCAAGTCCCGACCGAGCTCACATGGCCGTGGAGGGAAACTGCTTGGCGCAACAAGCACGTGGTAAAACGTTACGTTTACTCGGCGTAAACGAGCGACTTTTACCAAGGACCATTCGCGCCTGACGTCCCAGCGTCGTGGCGTCTCAGCAAGGCAAGCCGCAGTGCCAGAGCCATGAGATCGCTCGTGCGTCGACCGAGCGCGATCGAGCGGCTCGCGTCGCGACACGAATTCCGAGCGCAATAAGCATGAGGATATATATCGAGCCATCGATCCGTGCCATTGCGGCCGAAGCGGAGGAGGAGAACTCGTTCCGGCTCGCCCGTGCGAAATTGCAATTTCGCGCTAATTGCCCGGCCAGCGTGAGAAATTTCGAACGGATCGCGAAAGGACGCGGCGGGCTACACTGCCTCGAACGAAAACCGCCCAAAATTGCGAGATGGAAATTAGTCGGCCGAGTCGATTTTGTAGCGCAAGTTTTGTACGCAAAAGTCGCTCCCCAAGGAATCCCCAAGCTGGATGCGCCACTTTGGGAATTCAAGGATCGTCGTTGGCGAGAAGAGCGAGGGTGCATCAGCGGGCAATAACGTCGTTAAACACGCGAAACGGGATGACTGAAGGAGCGACGTCGCGCGAAACAAGGATGTTCATGAGAAAAAGGCAGTTTGTGCGAGGAAACGTGAATCTCGGAGGATACGAGCCAAAGACTGAGTTACAGGAAGTTTAGGTTCACCGACACACAACGTCGCGTTTTGATTTGCGTTTATCCTCGCGGACTTATCATACACTGAGAAAAAATTGTATTAAAATTAAACAAATATTTGTTCGAATACATACGACTGTGAAGACATTTACTTAAATTAAGCAATTATTTTCTAAAATTCAAGACAAAAGTTTACATTCAGAGAACCTCTGTATTTCATTTTAGAAATTAGTCGCTTAATTTGAATAAATGTATTCACACTCGCATTCGAACAAATATTTCTTTAATTTTAGTACAATTTTTTCTCAATGTACACACACACACACATACACACACACACATACACATACACATACATAGAAATGTGTACCTCGAACGATTTTATTTTAACTAAATTGTACTCGACTTTCTATACACTCTGTATACGTATATTAAAAATCTGTGCAACGTCCATCCTAACGAATATACCTAAGTGTTCATAAAAATTTCTACGAAACTCGAAGACAGGTGTGTGATCTGTAATTATAACTCTTCCACTAACTAACCGTCTACTTTGCCTTGTGCTACTTGCGACGGTGGCTTTTTCTCTTCAACGAGGGCGATCCTTGATTCTCACTCGAATAGTTTCCACTCGCTTTGCGTCAAACGCGAATGTTTTCGATAATTCCTACCGATCAATCATCTCCCAAGTGAACGCTATAAATCCAGCGTAGCCGACAATCTTCCAAAAAATCCTCGCTCTACCGGTCTAATTGAAATCCGCAGTGCTCCATAATGTTTCAAGCCTCAAACCGTTTTCGCACGAACGTCGAAATGTTCGAACAGCTGCCAGCCGCTCAGCCATTCAGGCTCGACGTGTGACCGCGATCTTATCTTCGTCCCGTTTAACGCAACACGCTCTTTTCTAATCGATTCGGAACAATGCGAAGGGTGTGCTGGCGGCGTTCGCACGAAACGTTCGTGCGAAACGCATTACGGCCGAACTTCCAGACGCTCCTTTTAAATGCCATCACACACCGGAGCCAATTGACGCGCTCAAACGCGCGTCCCGATATCAACGATACACCGTCGACAATCGCGACGATTAAATATTCGCGTTCCAGAGCGCTCTATTAATTGGCTTCGTGACAATTACACCGAGAGCCGGTGAATTGACGAACGACGAGGGTATCTCCCGTTCGCGCCGTCCGCAGAGGGACCGAACGCGCGCGCGCGCCTCGTTATGTACTCGCCATTATTGGAAGCCCCACTTCCGGGCGACACGGTTCCAATTTCCATGCCGGCCACTCGTCAACGGACGCCCAAAAGTGACGGGCAGGTGGACGGCCGGTAACGGTATACCTTCGTACAGACGATCGATCCTCTATCGACTCGTGGCGCGCGAGTCACTACGATATCGCAATTATCCGGCGCGACGGCGAACCCCCCCTCCTCCGACGTAAGCGTAATTAACCGGCAACGAGGTTACGACGATGCTAAAAATTCGCCACCCGTATCGCGACCCGTATGGTTTCACCTTTATTCAGAGGGAGAGAGACAGATTTCCGATTTCTTCATAATTTTGGAAAAAGGTGTGAGATTAAAGGCGCGCATTTCCAGCAATTTCAGTCATTTGGAAATTCGCGCCCTTACGATCACACGAGAATGTGAATTTGTGTGTTTGCTCTGTTCACACTTCCGGGTCTGGTGAGTGTTTATCATGACGAATCTTCTTTCCTTTCTCTCTGTCCGTCGCGGATTCGTGAACCCCGACGATTTCACTCTTACCGAGGAATTCGACATTAAAATTAAAGCAATCTGCGATATTTAGTATGACTTTAACGTGGGAAAACTCGCTGTTGCGTTACACTAACAATGTATATTTGTACATTATATTCAGACGTTCGAGTTTAGTGAATCCTCCTCCTATCGGGTCTCGATGATATCTCTTTGTCTTTGTCTACGAGTTTTGCTTCGCGAAGATCGGAGCCTTCCAGAGAACGCAACGCGCGACGTCGGATGTGTCGGTGGTTTTCACGAGCGGTGACGGCGACCTGTGTTACATCACAATCGAGCTCCGCGAATACGTGGGCGATGCTATCTTCGCGGAGAGCAACAATCTCGCCGGCAGTATGCGCTTGCCGGAACGAGCCGAGAAGTCAAAGCACGCGGGAATAAACGGCTAGGGCGGAAGGGAAGAGATATCAGAGAGGACGCGAGTCCCTTCGGGGCTCGAATCCTCTCCTTTCGCGAGCGCGCAAGCGGAATGCTCCGGTTTCGCGGAATTCTTCTTGAGCGAACGAGCGACGAGAGTCGAGTCTTCTCCGAGGAGCGATCCAAGGCGAATGTCGACCGATAGACAGTCTCGCGGATTATCGGTAAACAATACAACGAGCTCTCTCGCGACTCGGCCGCTAATCGAATAATCTCCCGATCCAAGCTCGTTCTCGCTTCTTCCTCTCGCCAGTTATCCCAGTTTCTCTTTCGCGCTTTCGCGTTCTTGCCGGATTACTCGGTCCGGAGCGCTGCAAAGTTTTCCGCCGCGAGTTTTCCAGGGAGGCGAGCAACCAGTTCGCCTGGAGAAACGCTGCAGCGCGGGGAAAACGCGAGTTCGAAACGAGAAACGTGTTATTTGCGCGTAAACACATACACTCGCGTGTTAACGCGTCGACCCTGACATACGCGGACGCTTAACACGGCTTGCTCGCGAGCGAAATGGCAAACGCATTCAGCTCACGCAGTCTGGGTCAATATGGGTCTAGAACCATGCGGTAGCAGCTTGAGAGAGAGAGAGAGAGAGAGAGAGAGGGAGAACCGTAAGTAATGATTCCTCCTTTCACGCAAAGTGGGACTCGTAGGAGGAAGTCGCCTTAAATAATACTCATCGTTACTGGCACGAACAATCGGGCGATATCACCGCGCAAAAAGCGCGGTCAACGCGACGTCGATATAGCGGCTCGCGCAAAATTTCGCGGTTGCTCTAACGCGCACGAAGGTGAGAAACCATCTTGCGAGGAGAAATCGCAGCAAACATTACCCCGCTGGCGCGGCGACGCAAAGAGCAGTGCGCGCGATTTCCGAATAATTGACAACCAACTCGCTTGCTCAAGCTCATTGGCAAACCATTCACGAAAAATTCAGCCGACTGGTCGGTAAAAGTCGATCCGCTCACGAAATCACGTCGGAATCAAGCCGCCATCGTGTGAAAACCGACGATCGATTTAATATCTCCGGTATTTCGTCGCGATATCTAAGAGATATCGCGAGAGCGATATTGACGATGCGGTCGTTATTCAGTTGATACACTCAAGCGGACTCGATACATCCGTCTGTCGACTCGACTTGAATATAATACCGTTACCAGGTTACGCATTGAGAAATTGCCCCTCGCGAGATACGCGGATAAGCATCGGCGGAATCTGCTGATTCGGCGAGTAATTAATCGAGACGATCGCGGAGAGAAGCAGAGCGGACGCCGCCACCGCGCACTTTCTCGCGCTTTACCGTTCGCTTTAACGTTCGCTTTAACGAGCCTAATTGTTCTTGCGTAATCGGCATTCCGTAACGACGCCGGCGACGCGACTTCACGGTCACACGCGGCGAGGTGCCGTCGCGGAATTTACGAGTGGGCTCAAACCATTACGTGAGCCGACTGCCGGCGGGCCGTGTCTGTGAAGTTAGCACGACGTTTTGAAAATTATTAAAAAACAATGTTAGTTCCAGTAGCATTTCTCATAGTTCTACAGTTCCTGATAAAAATAAAAAAAAGTTCTGTATTCTTAATACCAAAAAATCGAAGTTGAAAAGATGTCGTGCTAGCTTCACGTTCCAACACAATATAGTTTCCTCTAAAGTACAAGAAGCCGGTGAATAGTGCGCTTTTTGGCGAGAGTTCCCGGCCAGTTAGTTCTAGGCCAGTTCTACAATTATGGAGTATTTCCGAACAAAATTCCATCAATTAATAATTCTGTACAATTTTAAATATTCGCCGCCAGCACAATATTCGGGGAAAACATATGCTGTCGACTTACTGCACTACTGACGGTAGTTCTAGCTCGTTCTACTCGAGTTCCATACAATTCAACCATTTTCAGTCATTGTTCCGCCGTATAACTATTTTTAAATTAATTTTAACCTTTGGCGCCAGCATTCGGTGTAAATGTGTCGTGCCGTCGACTTAATGCTGACTTAATTCTGACGATACTTCTAGCTTGTTCCATTCAATGACACAAGGACTCGAGTCGTGCCTGCAATGACTCAATGTCGTGCGGGAATGTGAAGTTGACACAATTTTTCAATTTCGATTTTTTGATATTAAGAATACGGAACTTTCTTTTATTTTCATCAGCAACTGTAGAACTGTATGAAAAATGCTACTGGAACTAACATTGTTTTTTAATAATTTTTAAAACGTCGTGCTAACTTCACAGACACCGGGGCGGGCCGGCCGCGGCGTTCGCCGTCGCTGCTGCCGGCGATCACGGCTGTTTTCACGGGAGCGCTCGCTCTTTCGGGAACGCACGCTGTTCAGATTAATACGCCCGTCGTTCGCCACGGCGCTCTTTAATTGGCCGAGCGGAACGGCGCACTCTGTCATTATGTCCTCTCGCGGGAAAAGCGCGCGACCGCTCGGCTTTTCCGCGTCGCGCCCGCGCGTCTCCACCTCCCGCGCTCATAATTGCGAGCGATAAGCCATGGAACGTGGTGGGCAAAAAAGCCGGCTCCAGCCGGCCGATGGTATAATCGGGCGGACGGATGAGTCGAAAGCGATGGAAGCAGCTTGATCGCGTGCATGCGCGCGGAATAAGATTAGCCGAGATGGCTATTCATCAAGCCTACGTAATTCATTATTAAGTTTGCGCGGACGACGCGTACGTGATAGTCCGCTGATAGGCGAGGGGAACGTTCGCAGCCGTCCCGATTGCAAGTACGCGATTCCCGGGGAACTTCACGAAGAAGCTCAGCTAAAAAGCGAAAAGAAGAAAAGGAAACTTCAGTCGATGCAACGGGATTCCGGCGAGAAGCCGACGGAAGCCCGGCGACGGAAACGACCGCATCTCCGCCATCGCGGAGGAGCGGCAACACTCGCCTTTGAATCTCTCTCGGGCGCGCGTTGAAACTCGACCGAAGCAACAGCGACAGCGCTCGGCCGCTCGACTGAACGGCCATCTCCCGCAGAGGAGATTTCCTTTCCTTCCGCTCTTCTGCAGCTTGCATTGATCCGACAACGGAAAGTCACTTACACCGAGCCGAGCTTACCTTCGCGCGCATCTCTATGAGCACAATCTGCAGCGTTCCAGGTGGTCTCGCGGCTCACGCGAGGCAGGCGAACGCGAGCTGCAAATCCTCAAAGTGCATCATCACGAGGAAGTTCGAGGAGAAGCCGCGTCGACTGAATCGGCCGGCAGCCGGAGGTCGCGAGCCGGAGGAGATCGCGAGAGGATCGCTGGCGCGGTGATGAGCGATTCCGCGTTTCCTCGACGTCGATGTTGACGCGCTCCCGCTCGTACGCCGCATTTGCAT